CAGAGGCAAGCCAAGCACTGCATGCTCCTGAAGTCAGCTGAACCTCTGTGGCCCACTCCCACCATGATGTAAAATAAAAGCAAAGCATTCTGTATCATTATTAGAATGTCATATTCTCACTGTGCAAGGATCTGGCGGGAGTCTTTACTGGAATGCAAGTAATACAAGAACCTTTGTAAACATTTACTATAATTTTATGAGAAAGGTAAAAAAATGAACTTTTTACCAATTAGTACTATAAAAAATATCCAGTAAATATTCACTTGATACAGGATTATCAATGAGATGAAATTACTATACGTGACAGACTACACTGTGAAGTAAAAGATGTAAAATTGTGAGATGTAGCCCTTTCTTGATATTAGAAATCTTTGTGAATAACATAACAATGACTGTTCTATTTTTGTTTACCTGTTCACACATTAAAACAAAAACAAAATACACTATCCTGTAGATTAACATTTTAAAAATTACAAAATTACATATCCTTTATGTTAAGTAAAATGATTATGTGTAGAAGGCCCACTATAACTTAGTATCTTTAAAACTGGAAGACAAGTAATTATGTTCTGTGACTATTATCACAAATAATTTTCCCAGAAGTATTTCCACAGATTAATTTTTAATAACCTTACCTTTCCCTCCAAATGGAAAACACTGATATTCCACAATATTATTTATCCAACCAATAGTTTCTATTTGCAATTACACAAATACATATTAGTTTACTTATTTCAATGATATATTCCTTGTGTTTTGAAAGCTTTACGTTTAAGACATTGGAAATAAGCAGACATTTATCTTCCCCCCAAAAAAGAACACAGATAATTCAACAAAATCAGGAAAATGATACATGAACAAAATAAGCTCAAAAAGAGATGCAAATTATAAAAAAGAGTCAGATAGAAATTCTAGATTTGAAGAATACAATGAATGAAATGAAAAATGCAATAGAGAGCTTCAGCATCAAACTTGAGCAAGTAGAAAAAGGAATCTGTGAAGTTGAATATACATTATACCTTATCCAGTCAGAGGAGGAAAAAAAAAAAGAATGAAAAATAGTGACAAAAGTCTAAGGGATTTATGGAATATCATAAGATGAATCAATGTATGCATCATAGGAGTCCCAGAAAGAGAAGAGAGAGACAAAGGTAGAAAACTTATTTAAAGAAATAATGGCTGAAAATTTCTAAAATCTTACCAGGGAAATGGACATTCAGATTCATAAACTTAAAAGGTCCCTAAACAAGATCAACTTGAATAAGACTACATTCAGACACACTATAATTGAACTGCCAAAAGTCAAGGACAAGAAAAGAATTTTGAAATCAGCCAGAGAAAAATGACTTATCACATATAAGGGAACCCTCATAAGACTATCAGTGAATTTCTCAGTAGAAAACTTGCAGGCCAGGAGAGAGCAGGATGATATATTCAAAGTACTGAAAGGAATAAACTGCCAACCTAGAACACTAGACCTAGTGGCAAAATTATCCTTTAGAAATGAAAGAGAGACAAAGACTTTCCCAGACAAAAAAACTGAGGGAGTTCTTCATTGCTAGACCTGCCTTACAAGAAATGCTTAAGGGAATTCTTTAAACAGAAATGAAAATACACTAACAGCAAGGTGAAAGCTTAAGAAAACATAAATCTCATTGGTGAAGGTAAATATACAGATTAAGGTAATACTGTAATGGTGGTGTGTAAATTACTTTTAACTTTAGTATAAAAGTTAAAAGATAAAAAATTTTAATGCATATACAATAGAAACAGAAGCAAACTCTGACTACAAGGACACAAAGTGTGTGTATGTGAGGGAGCAAGTCAAGGTTTGGGTTTCTGTGTGCAATTGAAGTTAAGTTGTTATCAATATATAACAGATAGTTACTACTATAAGACATTTTACACAAGCCTCTAGCTAACCACAAAGAAAAACCTAAAATAGAGACACAAAAGACAAAAAGAAAATAATTCAAGCAAATCACTACAAAGATTCATCAAATAACAAAGGAACATAGCAAAAAAGGAGGAGAGGAACAAAACAACTGCATAATGGAGAGAAAACGATTCACGAAATGGCAATAGTAAGTCCCCTATCAATAATTACTTTAAATGTAAATAGATTAAACTCATCAATCAAAAGGTGTGGATTGGTTGAATGGATAAAACATCAAGATCAAGGAATATGCTGTCTACAAGAGATTTACTTTGGATTTAAAGACATACATAGCCTGAAAGTAAAAGAATGGAAAAAGATATTTCATGCAAATGGTAACCAAAAGAAAGTAGAGGTGGCTATACTTACATCAGACATATACCCTAAGTCTAAAACTGTTTCTAGAGACAAAGAAGGTCATTACATAATGATGAAAATGTTAATTCAACAGGAAGTATAGCAATTATAAACATAAATGCCGACAACATCAGAGCACCTAAATATATAAAGTAAATATTAACAAATTTAAATGCAGAAATTGACAGCAATATGGCAATAGTACGGGACTTCAATACGCCACTTACAACAATGGATAGGACATCTAGATAAAAAATCAAAAAAGACATAGTTGACTCGAACAATCCCTTAGAGACAAACAAACTTTCCACCCAACAGCAGAAGAATGCACATTCTTCTCAAGCACACATGGAAAATTCTCCAGGATAGATCACATGTTGTTAAAACAAGTCTTAACCAATTAAAAGATTGAAATCGTTGTTAAGGTAGCACAGTAAAGCTGTGTAAATATACATAGCAAAGACATTTCTTCCCTGTATAATCCTTGAAGGAGCTGTGACAACTTGCCAACTGGATAGGGTTGCTCAATTTAGGAGATAAGAATATAGCATTCTCAGCCAAATTTGAATTTCAAATAACAACAAATAATTTTTTTGTATAGTTATGTCCCACACAATATTTGGGACATGTAACCAAGATAGCCTTAATGGTCTCCTCAGCTTCAGTAATCTTTAGACAAATTTCTTTCTGACTCTAGACCCTTGACCTCCCTTTTCTTAGAAGACTTACTGTAGAAAACTTACAACTGTAAATTATTTCTCTGCCCCTTTGAGGTATAAATCTTGTACAACCCAGGAATGTCTTTCAGTAGGACCTGGGAGCCTTCCCTTTGATATATAATCATCAAGAAAGATAGGCCTTTATCTTCCTGTCTCTATGGGATGATAGAAGCCTAACTTCCATAAGCAAACACAGATGACCTATTCATATTGACCAACCTCCCTCCCCTCAGTGTCCTTTGGTATTTTTCCACTAGCTCACCCTGCACTAAAAAACTTTCCTGCCTTTTGTTTCAATGGAGTTGAGTTCAATCTCTCTACCCCATTGCAATAGTCTCTCTCCTCATTGAAATCATCTTGAATAAAGTCTTTCTTACCTGTTTAACTGTTCTAGTGCAATTTTTCTTTTATGCATACTTATACTAAAAAGCTATTTGTCATTTATCTGAAATTCCAGTTGAACTGGGTGTCTTATATTTTATCTGATGACTCTATAGTTTTGTAACATGGGGCAAGCCAGAAACCCTCCTTTAATTACTGTTTCTTTATCTGTCTAAAAACCAGATGATGATTCTATTACTGCATATGCTTTGTTGGGATTATATTATATAATCCAGATGAATCTCTTAGCATAGTGTTTGGCGCATAAGAAATGAACATTACATGATTTCTGATGCTGTTATTATGCTTATTAATAACAATAGAAATTGGATAAAAACAACATGGTTCCTACCTTATGAACTTTCATGACAATGTGGTTAGTTTTCACAGTGGGTACCTATTCCTTTCTCCTACTATTGTAGTTAGAGAAAATAAAAATTGCGTTTTTTAAAAAATTCATATATACAAAGTAGTTTTCATCCCCCTTGTCTCTCAAGCAGGTTCACAATTATTTGTCTTCTATGAATGGGAGTTCTAGTTAACAGGAATGACAGATAAACTAATTTCACACCATAAAATGACATGACATGAAATCTGATCCATATGACTATAATTCTCTACTCATGATTACCCCACAATTTAACAACTGAAAGCCAAATCTTGGTTCTATTAAGGATCTAGCTTCACTCTATACCTTGCTTTTTCATTAGTCAATTTTCAATTATTTGTGTTGATTGAGATAAAGACTAAGGAAAAATTAACCCTGTTATTCATCTAGCCATTTATTGCACAAATATTCACTCATTCCAGAGCAAAGTAATCAGTAACAGTTTGGGTGGCTTGGAGCCTTGACCCCTACTATCCTCCTTTCTTTGGAGAGGGCAGGTAGTGAGCTGAATGAAAGGCAAAGATGAGGGGATGAATGACAAAGGGTAGTTATAATGCCTAGATAAAAATAAATTGCCGCCAGCTAGGTATATGAAATTTTAAAGTAGTAAGTATTCTATGGAAAATATACTAAGATAGTTTTAGTCCTACAAGCATTTTGGAATGTGTGTGTGTGTCTTTCCACTGATGTGTAGAGTACACACATGAAGGCCTTGACACATTTTCATACAACTCTTACCTAGCTGGCGGCAATTTATTTTTATCTAGGCATTATAACTACCCTTTGTCCCCCACCCCCTCATCTTTGCCCTTCATTCAGCTCACTACCTGCCCTCTCCAAAGAAAGGAGGATAGTAGGGGTCAAGGCTCCAAGCCACCCAAACTGTTACCGATTACTCTGCTCTGGAATGAGTGAATATTTGTGCAATAAATGGCTAGATGAATAATAGGGTTAATGTTTTGGAAGATTCAGAGCAGTATTACCCAAGGTTAAGTGTTAGGGTGGGGATTTGAACATAAATCTTCTGACTCTATGTCTGAATTTATTGTCATTGACAACTTCTTATAACACTAAAATTTAAGACAATCATTTTCTTCTAATTATATACTACTGACTAATAATGAGGGTCAAAGAAAAACAGACGTTGGCATGGTGAACATTCTATTTGCTTTTATATAGAAGATTCTCACTATTTAAGAATACCATAGTATATCAGTCATATTTCTATCAGAGAAGCAGAACTGCCAGGAGTGATAAGGGATATGTTATAGTTAAATTCACTGTAATCATGGAAATTTGTTGGGCAGGCTGTGTAGGCTGAAGCCTCTTTATCTACCACCCAGACTTAAGTCATAATACAGGTCTGCCGGACTGACAGTCAGGAAGCAAAGCCATGTGCGGATGAGAGCAAGAACAAGCTGGGACCCACAGGTAGAGTTTGAACCCAGAAGGACAGCTGGAATCTGAGGACACATTGGAATCCATGTCTGTTATCATCTCCAACTTTGATGGCTTTGGGGACTTGCAAGAGAAGCTGGCATCATTGTGAGGAAGCTATGGACACAATTGGCATCGGGTTAGAAACCAAAGGAGCTAGGGGAGCTATGGATCTGGGTGCTGCTCTACACCAAGGTGAGCTAAGAGATCAATGACAACACGTGTGAGCAGCCATAGTACCTGGAGCTCAGCAATTACCACCGAAACATAAAAAAAAATATATAGCTGCTACTTCACTTTCTCCTTCCAAATCTTGTGTAAAATGTTTCTTGTGCCCAGTAATATTCTGGAGACATAAAGGGAAGGGAATTCTGGAAAAATAGTTTGAGCTTAGCCTCATTGGCACAGTATAAGCTACCATAGCTGGTATTACAGAAAAGACATGGAAAGAAATCTATTTAAAATGCAGATGAATACTTCCTTGGATTTTAGGGGTGAAAAGTGTGATTGAGAATTTATCTTGAAAAAGAAACCTAAAATTTATGAAAATAAAGAAATTTTATCTCATTTAATACAATATAGCTTCTAATTTGAGGTTGGCCCTGTGGTGCAGTGGTTAAGTTTGCACGTTCCGCTTGGATTCAGATCCCAGGTGTGGACATACACACTGCTTGTCAAGCCATGCTGTGGCAGGCATCCCACATAACGTAGAGGAAGCTGGGCATTGATGTTAACTCAGGGACAGTCTTCCTCAGCAAAAAGAGGAGGATTGGCAGCAGATGTTAGCTCAGGGCTAATCTTCCTCACAAAAAAAGGGAAAAAAATGTAGGTTCTAATTTTAATTATGTGTTAATTTTTTAGGGAGGACAAAATCCGTATCAAATGTTGGTTTCTTTTTTCTTCATATAAATTTTCCAACAGCAATATTAGTAACACAGCATTCTATTCTTTACTTCCCTGTTAACTATCTCAGGAAAATCATAATGAGGGTCAGTTTTGAAAAATAATTTGGAGGCATCCCAAGATTTTCATAAATTTCCTCAAAAGCTCCTCTTAACCTTTTGGTTCCCAAAGATTCTTATTTGAATTGCCTGAAAGTATTCGTATTTGAGTTGTCTGTTGTGTCTCTGTCCACATTGATTTTCTCTTCATTTTCAACTGGTCTAACTCTGCCATATCATCAATAGATTTTCCTGTAATTGGTTAGTTCTCTATAATTATCTTCAATGACTTCATGATATCCTGCGTCTTGTAAAAGACTCGTAATTGTTTATTGCATGTTAACAGGCTTACCTACACAGACTTTGATGATAGTCACAGATACACAGTAAAAAGTTGAGAGGAATGTTTGAGTGGGGGTTAATTTTACAAATGGTCAGTTCATTAGTGAATATTGTGTAATGATCGTATTAGTCTTACATGGTAATTACAAGGCTTGGGCTCAGATAAATTCCCTGATAATGAGGACTTTTAAAAACTAATAAATAGGAATTACCCATTTTCTATAAATAGGAAATTTCCAGAGAGGACAATGTGATTCTTTTACACATTGGTAGTGTATTTTACATGAAATTACTTAGACCCAGAGAAATTTACAACTCTTTATTTCCTTCAACTTGGTTATATCAGTGTAAAGCCCTCCCTTATTTCTTCTTCCAGTGATGGGAAAAACGTATCTACTAAGTCCAAGAATAAAAATGTCATGTAGGCTCTAGCAATGATTTTCTTCATTGATGACCCTTTCATAACTAGACTCTGAAATTATCTATAACATCTATAAATTGAATAATAAACTAGCTCTTAAGTAAATACAAAATGGTAAGGTCTTTTGTTATGGCAATGCTCACTTTCCAAAGTAACCAGAGACTCAAGTCTCAGTCAGTGTGGAGAAAGCCCATGCGAGTCCCTGAGCTACAGTATAGGATCAGTACAGAAATGATGAGAAGTGGGGGCCAGCCGTGTGGCCGAGTCGTTAAGTTTGCGTGCTTCTCTTCGGAGGCCCAGGGTTTCTCCTGTTTGGATCCTGAGTGCGGACATGGCACCACCCATCAAGCCATGCTGAGATGGTGCCCCAAGTAGCACAACCAGGAGGACCTATAACTATAATGTACAGCTGTGTACTGGGGGGCTTTGAGGAGAAGAAGAAGAAAAAAAAGACTGGCAACTGGTGTTAGCTCAGGTGCCAATCTTTAAAAAATAAAGAAAGAAATGGCGAGAGGACCACTGGACAAAAAGAGACCTCAAGTTTAGACAGGGTGTAAAGGGCATGGGATTTGTTGATGAGAAGCAGGAAAGACTGGGGCTGGCACCTGAAGACTAGGCATGAATAGACACCTCTACAGAGGCAGCAAGGATCAAAGGCAGTACGTGGAATAGAAGCCAGGATGATGCGGTATTCTCCTGCTCCACACTGAGGGCTCAGGTTATCATGGCAAAGTAAGAGAGTGGAGAGGAAGGGGGAGAATTTTATATTTAACTGAATACTTACCCAAGAGTGACTGAGTTTTAAATAACAGATGACCCATACACTTTGAATTAACAATTGTAATTATTTTCAGTAATCCATTGAAATGGGAACTCATGAATTATGCTGAGTTCAGTAACTGAAATATAAAATTACATATTTTTCTGACCAGTATTTTCTTTATAAATTTCAACAACACTGCATGTTGACTTGACCAGGGAAATCTCCATTGAGGAATTTATCCAAGAGAAATACATGCTCACATAAATAAGCAAAGATTTGTGTACAAGAATGTTAATTGTAGCTCTTCATTTTATGGTAAAAAGCTGGAAGAAATCCAGATGGCTGTGAACAGGGATTTGTGAAAAGGAATTGTGGTACATCCATGTGAAGGAATAGTATTCAACTGTCAAAAATAGATGCTCAGGAATTCGCATTTTGAGGGACTTTATTAAAATTTAATTAAGATGATTTGGCAGGTTATAATGAGAATGTGAAAGTTTGGAGACAAGTTTTTATAGTATTTAACTTATCCTTGGTGTTCCCTATAAGGTAAATGGTTGACTATTTTATAATGGAATAGACAGAAAATTCACATGTAAACTTTTTACCATGTTTAAGATGCTCTGTTTATTTATTTTTTATTTATTTATTTATTTTGCAGTTTCTTTTTTAATTGCAGTAACATTAGTTTATAAAATTATATAAATTTCAGGTGTACATTGTTATATATTTCGTTTTCTGTGTAGATTACATCATGTTCACCATTCAAAGACTACTTACTATCCAGCACCACACTCATGTGCCAAATCACCCCTGTCATCCTCCCCTCTTTCCCTTTGGTAACCACCAATCCAATCTGCTTCTATGTGTTTATTTGTCGTTGTATTTATCTTCTACTTATGAGTGAGATCATACAGTATTTGACTTTCTCCCTCTGACTTATTTCACTTAGCATAATACCATCAAGTTCCCTCCATGTTGTCACAAATGGCCAGATTTCATCATTTCTTATGGCTGAGTAGTATTAGGATGCTCTGTTTAAATAAATCTTCATTCAAATATATCCTGCATTAGAGTCTTAATTTTAAATGTACCAATCTATTTGAAATATCTACTTCAGCTTGAAAATTTTGTGGGCAAAGAAGATATAACCTTAGCTAGTCATTGTTTCATTATTTTGAATTCTAGAAAGAATGATATTAAGATGTTCTTACTTCATAGGATTGCTGTGAGATATCAGTAAGCTTTATATAACTGAATTACAAGTAAATCCCCTAATGCTTGGAGAATAAGGGGTTCTGTTTAATTAAATATTCCATTTTACTCAGAGTTATCACATAAGCCATACATGGTTTCAACTTTAAAGTACTTGAGAAAAAAAATGAAATGCAGTGAAAACAAAAATTGGACTAGAACATACCTTAGTTTTGATTTATTTTTAGAATCTTGCAGTGTTTCAGAGTCATGGACAAAAACTGTAAGAAACCAACCAGAGAGGTATGGCACATAAACCGAACACCATTAGGCTTCCTTGAATTTACCTACTGTATTAATTGGCTAGGACTGCTATAACAGAACACCGTAGACTACCATAGGTTTAAACAACATGGATTTATTTCTCACTGTTTTGGAGGCTAGAAAGCCTAATATAAGATGCAGGCGCCAACTTGGTTTCCTAGTGAGGGCTCTCTTCCTGGCTTGCAGATGACTACCTTCTCACTGTGTCTTCACAGGGTAGAGAGAGAAAAAGAGAAAGAGAGAGTGCTCTGGTCTCTCGTCCTCTTCTTATAAGGACGATAGTCTCATTAAGGGGGGAGGGCATCCTGAGACGGGAACCAGCCTGAAGAGACAGAGCCATCTGTAAGGCCCCTGGCCTTACAACATAAGGCCCCTAACCAAATGGCAATCCAGGAGAATCAGATAGAGGCCACCAAGATCCCCATTCCACAGCCTCTAGACTTCCCGGGCTTACGCATGCACCCTAGCACCCTGGAGTCCATTGAAGGCGACCCTAGCCCCATTAGCATAGTAAAAATCACACCCAGGGGTGGAGAGCTAGCATGCTAATGATACATGCATCACATGTAGTAGCGTGCCACGTGACAGTGCAGGTGCAAGCACAACCCCACCTCTACATGCCATGACAAGGCACTCCTCCCTAACCTTTGCCTAATAAAAGCCCCACAATCCTGTTCACTAATGAGCCGGTCACCTGCCCCTTTCCTTTCTGCCCGAGCTCCCTTGTGCCTCTCCTGTGCATAAGCTAATAAACTTTTACTTTTTTCTCCCATTTGTTGTCTCTCTTGATTTCCATCCTCGGGGACAGTAAGAATTCAATGTGCCAGTAATAGTCCCACCCTCATGACCTCATCTAAACTTAATTACTTTCAAAGGTCTCACCTCCAAATACCATCACATTGGGGATTAGAGCTTCAATCTATGAATTTTGGGGAGACAGTTCAGGCTATAGGACCCACTAACTTTACAAAGTGGAAAACTTTAGCCCAGAGAGGGAACAAATTTACTAGCCTAGACTCAGGCATAGTTATTGGCAGAACTCAGCTTGGCCTCAAGTCTCCTGATTCCTGGTCAGTAAACTCACATAGTACTTTATCAGACTCTCTTTCAGGACATATTTCTCTTTCTTCCTTCTTATAATGATTTGTCTACAAGGCATATTGATCCTACCAGATTGTAAGTTCCCTGAATACAGAATCGATATCTAAAG